TGTCCGAAATATTATTTATTAATTTATTACATTAAAGTGAATAAAAGTTCACAAGTATAATTTATAAATTTAATAAAAAATATTATTAAAAGTATATAAAAAAGTATAAAAAAAAATTAAATATTTGAATGCAATAAAATTATATTATAGATTATGCAAAGAATATCAGTAAGGAATATTCACTCAATATGATAATAATAAATAATATATAATTTGAAATTAAAACTTTTTTTAGTACGAAAAAAAGAAAATTGTTGATTTTGAATTATAATATCACAACCATTTTGAATTATCCTATTTATAGACTAAATAATTTAAAAAGCATAAATAATTTAAATAGAATTTTCAAAACCTATAATTCTATATAAAATTAAAAATTAATTTTATCTTTGGCTTTTAAGATTCATTCCTTAAAATATTTTTAATCTCATATAAATTGGTTAAATTTTGTTGAGTGTAGCGGGAATTTCCGTTGCAATGTCTAATCACTGTATCCAAACACATTTCCACTTTTTGAATGGAATCTTCAAGCATTTCACATAACTGAAAATAATTAAAAGAATAATGAATCCATCTAGATTATTGTTACTTATAAAAAAAACTTACATCTTCTGAGTCTGTTTCTCCTTTTCCTGATTTTGTTTTCCTTTTCTTATTTCTCTTATTTTCTTCTTCTTCTGTTACTGCTGTATCATCTTTATTCTGTAGTCTTCTTATTTTATTCTGTAGTACTGCTGTTATTCTTCGCTGTATTCCTTTTCTTTCTTCTTCTATTGCTTCTTCTTCTTCTTTTATTATTTGCACTATTTGTGAGTCAGTCAAACATTCGTCTTCACTCATAACTCTCTGGGAGTTCAGCCAGTCTTGAACAGTAATTAATTCTACGGTTGTACCAAGCTGATCTTTTAAAAAATTATGAAAATGAATAGTGAGATCTTCATAACCTCTCAATTCGTAGCAAACATCATCAACAATTTCAATGTCATCATTAGGTGCAAGAACTTGTAAAATATCTGGCCATAACTGAAAATATGCATTAGTTATTAAACATAAATAATAAGAAGTATGCATTAGTTGAAAAATTAAAACATTTTTTTACTTACTGCTTTCCATGATTCTGATATTGTAGATTTATTGACTTTATTCCAAGCTGTAGTAATCCAAAAAATGACATTTCTAATACTAAGTTTCTTCATAGCTACTGATAGATTAGTTCCAATATTGAACTGATCGATAAAAAAAGACATTACACTGGTTCGATATAAAGTCTTGAGATTTTGAAGAACCCCTATATCCATAGGTTGTATTAAAAGCGATATATTAGGGGGAAAAAATTCAACTCTAATTTCATCATGCCATAAATTTTCTAAATGTCCATCACGATTGTCCATGAACAATACTGCTTTGGGTGGTAATTCCATGTTCTTCAAAAAACTTTGTACTTGTGGCACAAATTGTTCCTTAAACCATTCCTCAAACAATGATGATGTCAACCAAGTATTTTTTTGGCTTTTATACACTACCGGCCGAACAGTTAAGCTTTTAAAACCACATAATTTGGCATCTTTCCCTATTAACACTAATGGTAATTTTAATGTGCCACTTGCATTACTGCAAATCATGATAGTTACTCGTTTTTTTTTAATTTTAAATCCTGCTAACTCATTGTTAGTATCACCATATGTTTTTTTTGGAATTTGTTTATAATTCAACCCCGTTGCATCGCAATTGAAAACTTGATGTGGTGTCAAATCTTCATTTTTTATTATATCCAAAAAAATTGTCTTATATTTTTCAGCACCTTCACTATCTAAAGAAGACATACCGGTAGTAAAATCAGTTCTAATTTTGTGGCGTACTTTCCACTTATCAAGCCATCCATTGCTTGCTTTAAAAATACTTTCACCGCCAAACATTTTCCAAAATTTCATTGCCTGCATTTTTACTGTTGGACCACTTATTGGAAAATCTGTAGCACTGCGTTCTTGGAACCATAACCATGTAGCTTTGTCGATTGAAGTATGAATTGGACTTTTCATTCTTTTTTTACCTTTTCCTTCTTCATTGCTAGTTTTTTGCCATTGTCGGAAAGAATCTCTACTTTTTATCCAATTTTTTATTGTTGTTTTATGAACATTAATTTTTTCGGCAACAACATTCACTGGGGTACCTTGGCTCACTTCATGTAAAGCCCATAACTTGGTTTGCAAGTCAACACATTCGAGTTTTTTACGTACTTTTACTTTGTTTTGACTCATTTTTACTTATATCACTTAATATTTACTTAATTATTATATGTAACATTTATTTAATCATATATTAGACATAACCTTTAATTTTTTTACCTACAGTTTAATCATAGAATGCGTTTCAAGTTACGCATGAAACGCATGATTTATTGTTTTATTCTTCTTTATTTGATGAACAACAAGGATAAATGATGCATCATGCACTTCATGCGAAACTCGGAACACATCCCTTGAGGTAGGGTGCTTTCCAGCAAGGACGCAGACACAATGTAACACAATAAATCATTATGTCCTTGTTGTTTGCCTACGTTAAACAAGGATAAAACGATTCACTGTGTTACAGTTTCTGTCTGTGTTCCTTGCTGGAAAGCACTCCTAGAACCTCTTGGGTACGTTCCACTTAACGTCTGCAACGTTCGCAAACATTAGGATGCGAATACATGAAACGCGGAAATGCGGAAACACGAAAGATAAAATTAACTAAACTTTACTAAATTTCCCGCCTTTCTACGTTCTGTTTCGCTTGTTTTTAGCTATGATCAAAGTCTCGCTACAAATGCTTTGAAACGTTTAATGGACCAATTAGAAGAAAGAATTTTGCAACTGATCAAAAAACTGTATCCGTAATATTAGAAAATAAAGGGTACGGTCAACGCGATGCTGCAAATGCTTTGAAACGTTTTTTAATTGGTCAGTTTATAAAATTCTTTCTTCTAATTGGTCCATTAAATGATTTAAAACGTTTGTAGCGAAACTTTGACTACAGCCTACATGGAACACAAGCATTGTTTGTTTTGTCTCTCGAGGTTTGTTTGCATCGCATGCTTCAACATGTAATATGTTCCTACTATAACTCTTACTCATTCCAACGCACTTAATAAAGTGAGTAGGAGCTCTGGTAGGAGAATGTTAGAATATCGAGCTTGCAATGCGAACAAACCTTTGGGAACTCGGGATCGCTCCGAATAAACCTAGCGTACTTAAAATGTAGGAATTCACACTATAATATGAATATTAGATGTCGTACGTAGTAAATGTGAATCCTATATTTCAAGTACGATGGATTCATTCAGAGCAGCTCCCGAGAAACAATGCTACAATTTGAGCGGAAAAGTGGAAAAACAGGAAATTATAAATTATTAATTTTTAATGGAATTCATTGATTAAAATGCTTGGATTCAATACATAAGCTAAAAAGATAAGCAAATTAATAAAAATTGCAATTAATTAAGTGAATAAAATTTTTTAATGCATAGTGTATAAACGAATCAACCAATCAAAATCTTTCCTTTTCTCCCATTTCATGGAAAAGGAGAATTTTGATTAGATGATTCCCTTATCCACTATGCGTTATGCATGAATCTGTTTTCCCAGTCTAACAATAAGCCATTAGTCATAAATCAGAAATTAGAAGATGGAAATTGATCAATTACAGTCGTCAATTTCTAACTTCTGACTAATTTATTATATAATGGCTATAAGGGGGAAGCATAGATGCACGTAATGCATAAGAAAATGTACAATTAAAGTCCTTTGTTTCTTTCCTTTCCATAAAATAAAGAATTCTGATTGGTTAGTTTTCTTATATCTTATCTGTTATGCGTTATGCAAGATGCTGTGCTTCCCGCTTAAGGATATATCCACATGCAAGAGTCTGTGTTTCCCATCTTAGGATCATTCCACACAAACTTGCATAGCCGAATAAACATACGCATACAGAAAATTATCCAATCATATTTTATGTTTGCCTTTATAACAAAAATGTAATTGCAAGTATTGTACATTAGTTGCAAGCTGATTGCAAGCTAATCTGAAGCTTGCATTTTGAAATCAATGCTTCATATTGGCTGTCGCAACGAACTTGCGATCAGCTTGCAACTAATGTAGAAGTTTAATCATAAGAAAATGAATCTGTGCTTAAGAAAATAATCTGTGCTTCCTGCTTATGGTTATGCGGCTCTGCAAGTTGGTGTGGAATGGCTCTTACTGTTATTTCAATTTCTGTTAGATTACGTAATCTAAAACAGTATCCTGATTGATTCATCAGCTTAAGTTTACATCTTGTGCATTCTGTTATGAAATTTTATGTGCGGCAGCCCTAATGATTTTTGCACACTGGACGTGGAAACTCTTGTCGCGCGACAAAATGTGATGTGTTAGTCAATAAGTTTGCAACTTATAATGTGTTTATGGCCGCAGCACAGACTCTTGCATAACGCATAATGCATACGAGAATCAACTAATTCTTCTTTTCTATGGAATGGAAAGAAAGAGGAGGTTTTGATTAGTTGTTTCGCTTATGCATTATGCGTTATGTAAAAGTCTGTGCTGCGTCTCATTTTGCTGTGCGACAAACATTTCCGCGTCCAGTGGGCAGAAGCCCACATAAAGGCTTAAACACAATGGAAAAAGACACACGAAACAGAGAATAATAAGCTGTCCAATCAGAGCTCTGAGATATAATATCGAATTTACACACCAGAGCTCTGATTGGACGGCTCGTTATTCATTGCCTGTGTCTATTGTGTTTAAGCCTCATTGCCTGTGCTATTGTGTTTAAGCCTTTAGTTATCTATTGCATCGTCGGGAGGTGATTGGTTACTTCATTACTCCCTATTCTATCATGTTTTGCGATCAAGGATTCTGAATATCCTTCTCTGTTCTTATCTTGTATATCGCTTGATATATGCTTTCGTTTATATACTTGTGTGTGTGTGTGTGTGTGTGTGTGTGTGTGTGTGTGTGTGTGTGTGTGCTTGAATTCGTATTTGGTACATATGTACACAACCGTGTAATCGGTGTATACATATATAGGCATAGTGGAGCCCCAGAGAAATTCTTGTGTTTATTAATAATTTCTCTCGACATTGTATAAAATAGAGCCAGAAAGAGCCGGTTTAGAATTGGCATAATTAGAGATCGTTAATTCGTAGAATCTTTCATGCATCTGTTCTTTTGATCTGATTATAATTTCGGATGATTGTAACTTGAATCTTAATTGTGGCGGCTCTTTGCAAAATGCACAAAAAGTGGGCAGAGATATATTCTTGAAGAAAAAAAGTCCGGTTTCTCGACTTAATCAATTATTGCGAAAAGTACAAGACAAAATTTATCTTATACTTCAATTGTTAAAATGGCTGCATCCTTGTCAGGTGAGTTGTGAATTTATTTTATAACGATCTTTCAAATTTGCAATTTTAAAATTATTAATTTTCAAATTATTAATTTATAACGATTGAAAAACGCATAAATAATAAATTATGTCATCTTTTATTCGTACTAAATGATCTTGTAATTTAAAAGTTACATGTATGATGTTTGTAAATTTGAGAACTTAAAGTAACTTTTACAGGTTTTACTTTTCCTTTTACTTCTTTAACATATAATTGTATATCAATTTTTTTATAGCTTATTGGGTAAAGTTTTTCAAAGGGGCTGGATTTTCTCAAGATGTGGCCACTAAGCATGCAGTTGTGTTCTCAAACAATCGCATCAAACCAGATATGTTGCCAGACTTGGATAAACCTAGTCTCAAAGAAATGGGTATCACATTAATGGGCGATATGATTGCTATTTTGAGATATGCCAAGAAAGTAGTAGAAGAAACAACCTGCGAGAGATTTTTAGTTGATTCAGAAGACATACTTCCAACTCCAAAGGTTTCTGTATCAAAACCTATTATGAAAAAAGGAAGCAAGGAAATTGGAAATAAGACTATGGTTTTAGCAACATCTAAAACAGACTCTACAAAGAAGATAGTTAAATCTTTATCTGCAACAAAAAAGATTTTGACTATAAGGAAGCCAATTTCTGCTCCAGTTACCACTAATGCTGTTAATCAAAAGCCGATATCTGTCAAAAGAAAATTGGCATCGGAAGAAGACAATGATGAAGACAATGATGAAGATAACTGGAATATTTCAGAAAAGAAAGTAAAAACGACAAATGGCAGTGAAGATAATATTGAATACACTGTTGCAACACCGAAGGCAATAGTAAGAACTCAGATACTTAAAAAACCTGTTGAACAAAAACGAACAGTATTTGATAGATTAGGCGATAGCTCGGTCACAAGCACAACTAATTTAGTTGACACGACGCCTACTTTCAATATTACTGGAGTTAGTAAAGAAGTATTTAAAAGATCTACTAGTGTTTTTAAGCGTCTTGGTGACATAGATGATAAGAAGGATCAGACAACTACTGCAGGAATACTTAAAAATGGATCAAGTATTACCAATACGCTAGGCATACTGAAAAATCGAACATCACCTAGCGTACGCACGTCAATTATAACGACAAAGAGAGTCATGCCTAAAATTACCGGCACTATGCATGCCGATCACGAAGTTAATAAGAAGATTACTTTGAATAATACAAGTCGTATACTAAAACTGAAAAAGGAAGTACCTAATGTTAAATCAAATATTGAAGGTATTTCAAAAAAAATATCTACAGTCACATCTGGCAAGTTAGGTTTGTATATGTTATATAAATTTTATCAGTAGATAATTGTGTAAAAGGGAATGATTTTTCTTGATTTTATTATTGCAGCTTCAGAACGTCTTGTCTCAATACCAGCCAAAGCACGCTTGGGCACAACCACTGCCAAACAAGTGACATTCAGTAAAGTGGCAACAGTGACACATGTCAAAAGGGCAGATGTTTTCAGTCGCTTGGGTATTTAAGTTTGGCTTGATCCTCCCTATCAATCGTGAACAAGCAATGGTTTGCAATCGAACTGTTATTTGTATAAAGTTAGAGTTTTCCGAATCAACTGCATTAATATTGATTAATGCTAATCAAGTGATTGATTGGACTTTTTTTTTATTACGAATGGGTATATCCAAAGGGTGTTTTCCAATTGTAAAATCACTAGACACTTTCATGCACACGATGACACAAGTTACGTTTCATTCAAGTAATTGATGTAATCGTCAATACAACATCCATACTCAGCCAGAAGGCTACTAGCCAGTTGTGTAAGCTTGTGTTTTCTAGTAACCATTACATATTATTAATCGCAGTTATAAATAAGGTTGGAGTGATTGGCATTTTTGCTTTTTTTCATTCAATGAAGACAAATTTAAATAAAAGATAAATTTAATCTAATTCTATCTGAAACCAACTGAAATTACACAGCGTACACATTCTGTTCTAATCGATTTGTACATTTCGTGCATTACTGTGTACACTGTTAGAAATGTTCTTAAATTAAAATTTAATGAAATTTATATAATTTGAATTTAATTTCATGACATTACATTAAATTTAATGTATTTTTCATGAAAATTTAATGTACACGTTCATTACATTTAAATAATTACTGTAACTTAATTTTCAGTTAAATCATTCATTACTTTTTCGTTCATAACCAAGCTTCATTTACATGTAAAGGAAGCTCGTGGTTACATTTCTAACAGTGTATGTTAGTATTAAAATGTGTTAAGCAATTGAAAAGCACCCAGAGTGGCTTGCAAGGCTATTGCAAGGTTATGGTAAATGACTTATAGAATGTAAATATAATAAGAGACTTACGATTAGATTTATAATTTAGTGACGCCATGAATTGCTCGGTCATAAAGAACGCAAATTGTATACTATAATATGCAGTGCAATGTATTTTTTTATTTAGAAATTTCTAAAAGATTATTCAAATTTCTACTTTTTTCTTTTTTTTTTTATTTAAGACATTTTAAAAGACGATTCGATTTTGTATAAAAATGAAATAACTAGAATTATGTCCTATAAGATACAACTGTATTTTAAACTTGGATTTATGTGTAGCCTTTTTGACTTTAAGGAAAAAAAAAGAAAGTTTTATGGAGTATTTTTCCTATACTATATTGCTTTCTATGTTTTGATAATACTCCGAGATAACGATATATACAAGTACATGTATGGACGGCAATTAGATTTGCTACATTTTGAGAAACGACTTGTTATATTTTTAACTGTATTTCCTATAACTCAATTCAACACCTTTTGCTCTTCCTGCATAATAAACATTTATTTGTTTTATAATACATAAATATTGATATGAAAAAAAAGAATAAGCCAAAAGTGTCCTATAAATATTCTATTATCAACGTTTATCGATATTTTAAATATTGATAAGTATGACTTGTGATAATAACAAATTGATGTAATTATATAAGTGTTTTGTATAACTGAACCATTGCCATATAATATTAATTTGTTGCTATTTTATATTTCGTAAGTGAATATTGAAAAATTTATTTTTATAAGATTTCTGATAAATCTGAACAAAGTTAGAAAGAGAGAACTCACGAAATATTAACAAAAACGTTTGTTTGATATATCAACAAAAAGATATTCATCAGCAAATGTTTGGGTTTTTCATTACTATTAAAATTTTAAGATCTAAGGAGAGAATTAGTGTACTTTTCAGTAAATATCTATATGGAAGCAATAATCTCTTTATAATCTTTATTATAAAAAATGTAACACACACACACACGCACGCACGCACGCACGCACGCACGCATGCATGCATACACACGCATTAATGATTAGTACATTTTTATAATTGCATATTCATTTCCATAAAAAATTGTCAAGAAAGCCCCAATAAATACACGCGAAAATATATTTCTTTTTTTAAAAGTATGTTTATTTTTATCAATATATGTATATAGAATAACTTTTTAAATCTCTGTTTAATTTACTTCTTATCTTTCTTTAATTGGAAAAAAGTAAAAAATAAATTAAACTGAGATTAGTTAATCTTAGTAAAAATGAATATTACATTGGTTTTATATTGGTAGAAATGAATATTAATGAGACGAATGCTTTTACATCAAATAATCTTTATTTTTGAAATTTATCATTCATTTTTTTTCTATTTAAATACATGTGAAAAGAAAAAAAAAGAAATGGGAAATCTTAAGTTCTTTATCTATTCTTTTGCTAAACTATCTAACGTCTCGTGTACATTTGGACTCATTCGTAGTTCGTACTCATGATTATCGCACTCATCGAATCAAATTCGTAGTCCATTTGTATTCATTCGCGCTCATTCACTTGGCTTCAAACTTGTCTTTTAATAACATCTTATTGGTGGATATATAATTTCTTATAATAATGCATGATATGTATAGAATAAATAATGATGTGTCTCTCTCTTGTCAATATAAAAAGTTTATTCAGCAGCAGTCAGCCCTAAGTGAATTTTAATGATCGTCAAATGAGTCTAATAGGCCTGAGAATAAGGCTCTAAAAACCCTATCGATTAGTTGATATGATTAGAATTAAATAATTTTATTTATATATATATATATATATTTATTTATTTATTATCACAATTATTCATTCATTATTAAATGCTGTGTAAATAAACATATACAAATAGCATCTTTTTCTATTGATTATTAGTCGATGTTGTATGAATGACGGAACGCGGATGATACCAATAGAAGTGCAATTTTATAAATAAAAATGGAATATTATTATCAGATCTATCGGATTCGCTTGATAATCAAAAATTTTCTCAAGATTGGACTCATTAATAAATACTTTATCAGTCTGTTCCAACTTTTGGTACTGTTCCAAGTAGCCTAAATCGAGCAGAAGCGAACGCGAACAAGCACGAATGAAGAATTACGAACGAACTTGAGTGCGACTGATATTGTCAGTACAAACGAGTATCGTTTCACCAAATGAATATCGACGAATACCTTCTGTCTTTCTTGTCGATATATTTATCAAAGGAAAAGCATTCAGTGAAGTGCTAAAGAACTTATTGTTACCTATTATTAATGGTAAAGTGTTTGTTAAGTAGAAGACACGGATATGATTCCCTAATACCACAACGGGATCTTTTTGAAAGGAAACATTAATCCACTTTAATAAACGCATAATTATCCAAAAACAAATCCAACGCAATTCAGCAATATATTGTGTTATTAAATCTTGTCATAAACCATGATACTTTATCCCAATAGAACGGAAATTTATAGTAAAAAAGAGAAAAGCACTTGTTCGTGATCGTTCATGTTTGATCAGTCTGAACAGATTAACATTTTCTCAGTCGAGACATTCGTAAAATTCGACCTTCATTGAAGTCTTACGTTTTATTAAATAGACATAATACAAATATATCATACACACACATATATATATATAT